TACTATCGTCTGTACAGTATGTAAATTAGGTACCGTAAGTCTAATACAGTACTGTAATTTTATACATTTCTTGTGAAAGAAACATTTCTTATTCAACGGCGATAAAAATTATTTATATTAATGATGTCTCCAAAGTTCAATGAAGTTTTCGCAGAAAAATAAGTTATCAGAAATCAGCTGCCGTTTGGTGTGCTGCTTCGCAACGAAAACAAGCTTGAGCAATGGCGATGTCGAATGGTACACACTCGGTAAGTAATCCTACAATTTTTTTGTTTATAGCATAGTTTATACGGATTATTCCCAAAAAAAATATACGTATTTTGGAAATGTTGAGTCGGATTAGTCTAGAATGGATTAATTTTATGGAAGAAAACCTTTCAAACAGCCGTAGTCCGTAAACTTGACACGTGTCGGGCTGTGATTGGAACGACTCGTAAGAAATCGGATTCCTAAAGAATGGAACGTATCTATGATCTTATAGGGGGGTCGACTGTATTTAAAATTTAATTTAGATCATATAACTTACCTTCAATAATTTAATTATTGACTTTAAGCATCCCTTATCATGTATTAATTTTTTTTCAATTCGTGGAAAATGAAGTCGCCACTGATATGAAATGTTTTGATTTACTTCACATATTTCTGATGGAGGTAACTTTGGTACGATAAACCAATATCTTTCCTAGAAATAATTGTATATTTAAAGAATAAAAGTAAGTAATTAAACACTATTCAATTTTTAAAAATCCAAAATAAATATATGATTCTTACATCATGTGGAATATTATTTAAAAAATATTGTGCTGCACCTTCAGGCCAAAATGGCCAATTAAATTTTAATACTGGAACTAAATCTACATCGATCTGAATTCCATTTTTAGTAATAATATATATTGTTATTGCAGGTCCACTTAAATGTCTGATTATCTGTAAAATAATATATATATTAATAAAACTGATGGCAAATTTAAAAAATAAGATTACTTTATTGTTAAATTTTTTCATTAAATCAAAACTTAAAAATGTAAAATATTTTACGGTATTTGTTTTTATTCTAAACAATAAAAATTGACAAAAGCAAGCATCTTGTTTTCATTCTTTTTCTTTTACATTAAAACATTTTTAATTATTATTTTCCTAAATGAAAGTGGAAAAACTGATTTTCTAACTAAATATTAATGAAAAGCATAATAATGTTATTTATTTTGTATTATTCTTTCCCTTGTATATGAGTCTTGAATTTTACAATAATAATTGACTGACTGAGTGAAATAAATTAATTACAATAATTAAAACAATGTTAAGGCTGTAACCTTTTTGGTTATGAACACAATCTGCAGCAGATAGCATTAAAAATTTAATGCTTTTTCTATGGGAAAAATCCTTTTCCAAAAATTCTCAAAAATGGGAGCAGATAGAACCAAACAGTTTTTGTATTAGAACTGTATTTAATTCATATGCATATCTCTGTTGGTTGTCAAAAAGTACTAAAGAAACTGTTATTCGATTTAAATGAGCTCTAATAAAGCAGTTTTATTACTATTTATAGAATTTGAAGTTGTTTTCATCAATAAAAATATTATATATAAATTTCTATTTTTATCTACTTATTTTATATTTACCTTTGGTAAATTATTTCTTTTTCCCAATTTATTAATTGCTGAATCTACAATTCCTTGAAGCCAATTTTTAATTTTTCCTGCTTCCAAAAAATTCTTTCTGTTAGAAAATTTTCGTAAGATTTCTTTATTTAATTCCCAATTCTTCTCATGCATTAATTCTTTCAATTCAGATTTTAATTGGCATGTAACAAACGAGGAAGGAGAATGGTCAGTTGTTACCTGGAAAAATTTGCATGTAAATATTGAAGAAAATGATTTATGATTAAAATGTAATAACAGAATTTTACAAGAATTCTATTTAAATCATTAAAGAAGTCCAAAAGATAATATAACTGATAGTTAAACAGAATTACATTTATAAAGCTGACTTTTTACTTAATGTATGTCAAATATCTCAACAAAGTTTACAAAGATGATTACTTTTGATGATTCTCAGTGAAATTTTCTTGTTTGTCCTTTTGGGGAGGCTAATGTGACGATTGAGTGTTGATACAATTGTGAGATCCGTGATTTTTACGTCAATGTCGAAAAAAAAATCTTTGTAAACAACTCCAATGAAAAAAAAACTCTCTTGGTGAGAAGTATATCAGAGGTCATCGATTGTTTTCACACTTAGGTGGGAAAGTTGACACTTAGTTGATCAGAATGCACTGTAAGTGTCAACAGAAGTTGATCACGTGACTCATTTCTCACAAATAACGTATAAAAGCTCGAGTCCTCGGAAGCTCCGGGTGCAATCCAAAGGAAGTTATACTTGTCAATGTGTGCATCTCATCTCCCAGACCTCCATACAATCGGAATCGAACGGACGAAAGGAGAAGATATCAGTAGAAGACAGACCCGACCTTTCATACTTATTGCCATACTACAGTTCAACACCGGCCTGCGATTCATAATGCCATTCAACGAACACATATTAGACATATCCACATAGAGGTATTTGTATTGTTTTCAAGCTTTGTGAACTCTCTCTCCATTAAAGCTGTTAGAGCATCCCTTTTTGTATAGTGAACTTATTTAACCACATTTAGCCTATGTATCCTAGCCTAGTTATATAAATAAGTGCTTGTTTAGTTTGTTAATCCTGTCTCTTGTCATTAAAGGATACCTGCCAACTTACCAACGCACTCCCACTCACTTTTTGCCCTCCTAGCCATCCGACAAATCAGAGATCAGGTTCTACCAACCTGTTGCAGAGTAAATGGTCATTTGGGGATTAGCCCAGTGGCTTGCTGCTTATCTCACATAATGCTAATGAAAGCAATATAGGCTACAGAGTGTAATACCAAAACACAAATAGTGAACAGATACAATTAATGCACTTTATTCACACAGAACAAAACAAGTGTCACAGGATCTTTTGTCAGGATCCCAACTAAGGTTGGATACCAGTGAAATTTTTCCACGTTGGGGGTGCACATAATCACAGACCAAAAAGAAAAAGTTTTGCGCATAACAAGTAACTCGAAATTAATATTACCTTAAAACTACCTTACAATCTAAATAAGAGGAAAGTAGAATAAGAAATTAGGATATCTCTATCCTAATTTCTTATCCTACTTTCCTCTTATTACTTGTTATGCGCAAAACTTTTTAGGAAGATCAACAATAGCAAAAATATCTGGGATTTTGTCGGGGGATACTTTTCCTTGCTTGTGCGATGGGGTCCACAATGAATTCTTCTAGCTTTCTGTTTTTCCATCTTTTGTCACAAATATAGTTTCATTGCTTATCCAACTTTGTGATGATCAAATGTCTCTTGTTTGGAAAGGAGCACTAATAAAATTTATATTCTGTTGAGTTACACAGTACTCATTGAAGCTTAACCTTCTTCACTCTTCTGTTCTGGTTTCTCTCCGACTGACTGGACCTCCATGCATCCTCTCCGAAATAGAGCTTAAGAATATCCAGTTACTCTTTCCTCTTTGGACCCATCATTGTCCTCTCTATTGTTCTCGATGTTTCTTGGAACATAACCCCCACATTGACAAAAGAAATATTAGAAAGGGAAGACAAGAACAAAGGAAGTCTTTCCTCTGTATTGTCATAATTGAGAATTAAAATAATCAAAACATGTAAATTTTAAATAATTAAAAAGGCAAGCAGCCAGACTAATGTATCCTTTTATGGGAAACAAAGACTATCTTTATCAACAATTAACTGAAGCCTCAGGATTCTTGTTGCACAAAGCCTTTGAGAAATTCTTGTTCCTTGCTATGATCAAGATCGACCTTGCCTCTCCATTGTCTCCTCCAGTCTGAACTCTTCTTCCCAGTCTGAAAATCATTACCTCTCCCCATTAGGCCCTTAGGCATTTTTTCTCCCCATGAGACAGTTCAGAACATCAATCATCAACCAAGTGAAGAAGTAGAAATGAGGACGAGAAGATACCAGAAAAGACAAGAATCGAGGACAGAAGCTACAAACTAGAATATTCTAACTTAAAATTATGGCATACAGCCACAGTCTTTATCAGACAATGAAACCCTTTCTTAATTATCACAATCTCCATTGTAACAGATGTAAAATCAATCGCACCAAAACCAGAACCAAGTTCAACTCAACAATAACAACACTTTAACTGTTCTATCTTTTAAATTGTTTATTCAGTTATGGACATCTGCAGAGGGGAGCAAACGGTGCACTTGCCCTCCCCTGGAATCAAGTAAAATAGTCACAAATTACACAGTAATTGTTAGAGTGATTGAGATATGTAACCTTACAACCACACTTTGATACAATACCATATTCTATAATCTACTTGTGAAAAAACTCAAAATAAAGTTAAATATTTAAATAAAAATTTATTGATGTAATTGTCTTCAAGCTTTGTAGCAAAAAATTTTTTTATGGATATCCACATTCACAGTACTGGACTTTTTAGATATACTCTATTGATTAATTTTTCCAAATTATATTCTACTTAATATTATTTAATTTGAAAAAATACAATAATAATAATAAATTACCTGAAAATTCATAATCTTAGGAAAAGTCAAAATCAAATTTAAATCAAATTCAGTTGCTTCTTTTACTCTCAATTTTTCAAAATAACTTCCTGTGTAATATATATTTTCAAAAAGATGATAAAATAATTTATCAGTCTTCATTTCTTTAATTAATTCATCTAACACCATTTGTAAAATTCTGATATTTTCAGTTTGATCTTCTAGTTTTACTTTTGTCCTTAAAATTTCCTTTAAATTAGCCAAAAGAAGTTTATCATTTGATTTTGCCATTGGAGATAAATTTGTATTCTGAAAAGAAAAAATTAAAGTAAATATTCAGAAAATACATATTTATTCAATTTCATATTATTCAATTCATTTCACAAGAATGATTAATGACTGATTAATTAAATTAAATATAGCAACTAGAATTTTTAGATAAATTTGTTCATTATCTATATACTTATTAAACTTATTAGGTACAGTACAGTACCTATAGTAATGTGTTATTGCATGTTGAAATGTTTTTTGGTTAGTTTTTTATATTTTACTTTTTCCTGTCCTTTTTCTTTTTTTTTAATATTTTTGTCAGATGTACAAAAAGGGATAGTCCAAGGAAGTAGTTGGAAGTTGAAGATGGAGAAACTGGTTCTGGCTAATAAGAAGGGGAATTTAGTGATATTTCCATCAAAAGTGCATCAACCTTTTGTGAAACAGAAAAAATGTGCAAAGGTTTATCTTCCAAGCTATAATTGAAAAGATGTAAGAATAAAATTCTCCTATATATATGTTTTTCCCTTAATGATATATTTTGTGCTGCTCTTGTAATTTGTTAATTCATCTATCCTATAAAACTTTCTTTTCCTCAACCAACAAGAGACTACCTTCCTTATTTTTTCAGCAAACAATTTTATTATAATTCTGTTGTGACCCTTGAGCTAGACTTAGGTCTACTAGTCTACAAATAATAACAAATCGGCTTACAGAAATGGATTTATTTAGAACTAACAATTGCTTAGCAAACAAAGGCTCATACGACCTCCCTTGCAAAGCTCCTTTTCTCTCTCATGTTCCAAGTACAAATAGTATGCTACCTTCACTCTCCTTCCCCCTATGTTAACACGTAACAAAGTTTACACAAAAATTTAATTAACAAGGAAAGTTTGATGAGAACCATGAACTTGTAGTAGTTTCGAACTTGAACAAAGACATCTAACTGACAGTACCGCACATGAAGACAATAATTGCTTAGGACAATACCTCAGACACTTCTACTTCCCTTCCGATTCCCTTCACTCGGTTGTTCTCTCAACCGCCTTGGATGGAATTGGATAATAGTCCTTAGCCTTTCTCCGATGTTTCGGGTGGTTTCCTCCTTCCTCACACATGTGACTTCTTAACAGCATTGCCACAATGAAATTTCAAAACATACTGAAGCTCCTTCAAAAAATGTATTACAGTCGACCCCCCTATAACACTGTTGATAATTCCGTTTTATATGAATTCCATGTTGTACGAGTCGCTTAGATTTTACAAATATATGTGCTGGGCTGTGAATGGCTCACGTATTTGTAAAATATAAGTGACTCGTACAACATGGAATTCATATAAAACGGAATTATCAACAGTGTTATAGGGGGGTCGACTGTAATACATTTTTTGAAGGAGCTTCAGTATGTTTTGAAATTTCATTGTGGCAATGCTGTTAAGAAGTCACATGTGTGAGGAAGGAGGAAACCACCCGAAACATCGGAGAAAGGCTAAGGACTATTATCCAATTCCATCCAAGGCGGTTGAGAGAACAACCGAGTGAAGGGAATCGGAAGGGAAGTAGAAGTGTCTGAGGTATTGTCCTAAGCAATTATTGTCTTCATGTGCGGTACTGTCAGTTAGATGTCTTTGTTCAAGTTCGAAACTACTACAAGTTCATGGTTCTCATCAAACTTTCCTTGTTAATTAAATTTTTGTGTAAACTTTGTTACGTGTTAACATAGGGGGAAGGAGAGTGAAGGTAGCATACTATTTGTACTTGGAACATGAGAGAGAAAAGGAGCTTTGCAAGGGAGGTCGTATGAGCCTTTGTTTGCTAAGCAATTGTTAGTTCTAAATAAATCCATTTCTGTAAGCCGATTTGTTATTATTTGTAGACTAGTAGACCTAAGTCTAGCTCAAGGGTCACAACAGAATTATAATAAAATTGTTTGCTGAAAAAATAAGGAAGGTAGTCTCTTGTTGGTTGAGGAAAAGAAAGTTTTATAGGATAGATGAATTAACAAATTACAAGAGCAGCACAAAATATATCATTAAGGGAAAAACATATATATAGGAGAATTTTATTCTTACATCTTTTCAATTATAGCTTGGAAGATAAACCTTTGCACATTTTTTCTGTTTCACAAAAGGTTGATGCACTTTTGATGGAAATATCACTAAATTCCCCTTCTTATTAGCCAGAACCAGTTTCTCCATCTTCAACTTCCAACTACTTCCTTGGACTATCCCTTTTTGTACATCTGACAAAAATATTAAAAAAAAAGAAAAAGGACAGGAAAAAGTAAAATATAAAAAACTAACCAAAAAACATTTCAACATGCAATAACACATTACTATAGGTACTGTACTGTACCTAATAAGTTTAATAAGTATATAGATAATGAACAAATTTATCTAAAAATTCTAGTTGCTATATTTAATTTAATTAATCAGTCATTAATCATTCTTGTGAAATGAATTGAATAATATGAAATTGAATAAATATGTATTTTCTGAATATTTACTTTAATTTTTTCTTTTCAGAATACAAATTTATCTCCAATGGCAAAATCAAATGATAAACTTCTTTTGGCTAATTTAAAGGAAATTTTAAGGACAAAAGTAAAACTAGAAGATCAAACTGAAAATATCAGAATTTTACAAATGGTGTTAGATGAATTAATTAAAGAAATGAAGACTGATAAATTATTTTATCATCTTTTTGAAAATATATATTACACAGGAAGTTATTTTGAAAAATTGAGAGTAAAAGAAGCAACTGAATTTGATTTAAATTTGATTTTGACTTTTCCTAAGATTATGAATTTTCAGGTAATTTATTATTATTATTGTATTTTTTCAAATTAAATAATATTAAGTAGAATATAATTTGGAAAAATTAATCAATAGAGTATATCTAAAAAGTCCAGTACTGTGAATGTGGATATCCATAAAAAAATTTTTTGCTACAAAGCTTGAAGACAATTACATCAATAAATTTTTATTTAAATATTTAACTTTATTTTGAGTTTTTTCACAAGTAGATTATAGAATATGGTATTGTATCAAAGTGTGGTTGTAAGGTTACATATCTCAATCACTCTAACAATTACTGTGTAATTTGTGACTATTTTACTTGATTCCAGGGGAGGGCAAGTGCACCGTTTGCTCCCCTCTGCAGATGTCCATAACTGAATAAACAATTTAAAAGATAGAACAGTTAAAGTGTTGTTATTGTTGAGTTGAACTTGGTTCTGGTTTTGGTGCGATTGATTTTACATCTGTTACAATGGAGATTGTGATAATTAAGAAAGGGTTTCATTGTCTGATAAAGACTGTGGCTGTATGCCATAATTTTAAGTTAGAATATTCTAGTTTGTAGCTTCTGTCCTCGATTCTTGTCTTTTCTGGTATCTTCTCGTCCTCATTTCTACTTCTTCACTTGGTTGATGATTGATGTTCTGAACTGTCTCATGGGGAGAAAAAATGCCTAAGGGCCTAATGGGGAGAGGTAATGATTTTCAGACTGGGAAGAAGAGTTCAGACTGGAGGAGACAATGGAGAGGCAAGGTCGATCTTGATCATAGCAAGGAACAAGAATTTCTCAAAGGCTTTGTGCAACAAGAATCCTGAGGCTTCAGTTAATTGTTGATAAAGATAGTCTTTGTTTCCCATAAAAGGATACATTAGTCTGGCTGCTTGCCTTTTTAATTATTTAAAATTTACATGTTTTGATTATTTTAATTCTCAATTATGACAATACAGAGGAAAGACTTCCTTTGTTCTTGTCTTCCCTTTCTAATATTTCTTTTGTCAATGTGGGGGTTATGTTCCAAGAAACATCGAGAACAATAGAGAGGACAATGATGGGTCCAAAGAGGAAAGAGTAACTGGATATTCTTAAGCTCTATTTCGGAGAGAAACCAGAACAGAAGAGTGAAGAAGGTTAAGCTTCAATGAGTACTGTGTAACTCAACAGAATATAAATTTTATTAGTGCTCCTTTCCAAACAAGAGACATTTGATCATCACAAAGTTGGATAAGCAATGAAACTATATTTGTGACAAAAGATGGAAAAACAGAAAGCTAGAAGAATTCATTGTGGACCCCATCGCACAAGCAAGGAAAAGTATCCCCCGACAAAATCCCAGATATTTTTGCTATTGTTGATCTTCCTAAAAAGTTTTGCGCATAACAAGTAATAAGAGGAAAGTAGGATAAGAAATTAGGATAGAGATATCCTAATTTCTTATTCTACTTTCCTCTTATTTAGATTGTAAGGTAGTTTTAAGGTAATATTAATTTCGAGTTACTTGTTATGCGCAAAACTTTTTCTTTTTGGTCTGTGATTATGTGCACCCCCAACGTGGAAAAATTTCACTGGTATCCAACCTTAGTTGGGATCCTGACAAAAGATCCTGTGACACTTGTTTTGTTCTGTGTGAATAAAGTGCATTAATTGTATCTGTTCACTATTTGTGTTTTGGTATTACACTCTGTAGCCTATATTGCTTTCATTAGCATTATGTGAGATAAGCAGCAAGCCACTGGGCTAATCCCCAAATGACCATTTACTCTGCAACAGGTTGGTAGAACCTGATCTCTGATTTGTCGGATGGCTAGGAGGGCAAAAAGTGAGTGGGAGTGCGTTGGTAAGTTGGCAGGTATCCTTTAATGACAAGAGACAGGATTAACAAACTAAACAAGCACTTATTTATATAACTAGGCTAGGATACATAGGCTAAATGTGGTTAAATAAGTTCACTATACAAAAAGGGATGCTCTAACAGCTTTAATGGAGAGAGAGTTCACAAAGCTTGAAAACAATACAAATACCTCTATGTGGATATGTCTAATATGTGTTCGTTGAATGGCATTATGAATCGCAGGCCGGTGTTGAACTGTAGTATGGCAATAAGTATGAAAGGTCGGGTCTGTCTTCTACTGATATCTTCTCCTTTCGTCCGTTCGATTCCGATTGTATGGAGGTCTGGGAGATGAGATGCACACATTGACAAGTATAACTTCCTTTGGATTGCACCCGGAGCTTCCGAGGACTCGAGCTTTTATACGTTATTTGTGAGAAATGAGTCACGTGATCAACTTCTGTTGACACTTACAGTGCATTCTGATCAACTAAGTGTCAACTTTCCCACCTAAGTGTGAAAACAATCGATGACCTCTGATATACTTCTCACCAAGAGAGTTTTTTTTTCATTGGAGTTGTTTACAAAGATTTTTTTTTCGACATTGACGTAAAAATCACGGATCTCACAATTGTATCAACACTCAATCGTCACATTAGCCTCCCCAAAAGGACAAACAAGAAAATTTCACTGAGAATCATCAAAAGTAATCATCTTTGTAAACTTTGTTGAGATATTTGACATACATTAAGTAAAAAGTCAGCTTTATAAATGTAATTCTGTTTAACTATCAGTTATATTATCTTTTGGACTTCTTTAATGATTTAAATAGAATTCTTGTAAAATTCTGTTATTACATTTTAATCATAAATCATTTTCTTCAATATTTACATGCAAATTTTTCCAGGTAACAACTGACCATTCTCCTTCCTCGTTTGTTACATGCCAATTAAAATCTGAATTGAAAGAATTAATGCATGAGAAGAATTGGGAATTAAATAAAGAAATCTTACGAAAATTTTCTAACAGAAAGAATTTTTTGGAAGCAGGAAAAATTAAAAATTGGCTTCAAGGAATTGTAGATTCAGCAATTAATAAATTGGGAAAAAGAAATAATTTACCAAAGGTAAATATAAAATAAGTAGATAAAAATAGAAATTTATATATAATATTTTTATTGATGAAAACAACTTCAAATTCTATAAATAGTAATAAAACTGCTTTATTAGAGCTCATTTAAATCGAATAACAGTTTCTTTAGTACTTTTTGACAACCAACAGAGATATGCATATGAATTAAATACAGTTCTAATACAAAAACTGTTTGGTTCTATCTGCTCCCATTTTTGAGAATTTTTGGAAAAGGATTTTTCCCATAGAAAAAGCATTAAATTTTTAATGCTATCTGCTGCAGATTGTGTTCATAACCAAAAAGGTTACAGCCTTAACATTGTTTTAATTATTGTAATTAATTTATTTCACTCAGTCAGTCAATTATTATTGTAAAATTCAAGACTCATATACAAGGGAAAGAATAATACAAAATAAATAACATTATTATGCTTTTCATTAATATTTAGTTAGAAAATCAGTTTTTCCACTTTCATTTAGGAAAATAATAATTAAAAATGTTTTAATGTAAAAGAAAAAGAATGAAAACAAGATGCTTGCTTTTGTCAATTTTTATTGTTTAGAATAAAAACAAATACCGTAAAATATTTTACATTTTTAAGTTTTGATTTAATGAAAAAATTTAACAATAAAGTAATCTTATTTTTTAAATTTGCCATCAGTTTTATTAATATATATATTATTTTACAGATAATCAGACATTTAAGTGGACCTGCAATAACAATATATATTATTACTAAAAATGGAATTCAGATCGATGTAGATTTAGTTCCAGTATTAAAATTTAATTGGCCATTTTGGCCTGAAGGTGCAGCACAATATTTTTTAAATAATATTCCACATGATGTAAGAATCATATATTTATTTTGGATTTTTAAAAATTGAATAGTGTTTAATTACTTACTTTTATTCTTTAAATATACAATTATTTCTAGGAAAGATATTGGTTTATCGTACCAAAGTTACCTCCATCAGAAATATGTGAAGTAAATCAAAACATTTCATATCAGTGGCGACTTCATTTTCCACGAATTGAAAAAAAATTAATACATGATAAGGGATGCTTAAAGTCAATAATTAAATTATTGAAGGTAAGTTATATGATCTAAATTAAATTTTAAATACAGTCGACCCCCCTATAAGATCATAGATACGTTCCATTCTTTAGGAATCCGATTTCTTACGAGTCGTTCCAATCACAGCCCGACACGTGTCAAGTTTACGGACTACGGCTGTTTGAAAGGTTTTCTTCCATAAAATTAATCCATTCTAGACTAATCCGACTCAACATTTCCAAAATACGTATATTTTTTTTGGGAATAATCCGTATAAACTACGCTATAAACAAAAAATNTATTTCGTAATTCTTTCTTATTACTAAAACATAAATACATATACATATATATATATATATAAAACACATATACAGTTTTCTTATATATGTATTTGTTTTGTATTTTTTCTGTAATCTGTATTTTGACATTCCATTTTGTCCTTTTCATTTTACACTTTTATAAGAAACCTTATATTATAAAAAAGGATTAAATCATATCTCTTTAGAAAATAAAATTTATTATTATAGTCATAAGTGACCTGGATTTTTTTTCCATAATTATGGTAAATTACCAGGATTACCATTCCAAAATTATTGTAACCCTAATTATTGTTTGTTAAACTATATAATTAAATGTGTGACATCTGTGCTTTTCAAAATAATCAGCTCTCTATTATAATGGCACACTGAGGATTTAATCTTGGGGGATAAAAACCAGATAAAAAAATTTTTATTGAAAATCCAATAAAATTCCTATTTTATATGACCTATATTCATAAATACAGTAGTATAGAAATAGATGGTGCAATATAAATTAAAAACAAAATGAATTTTAATTAGGAAAACATTTTTGGAAAATTTTCTAGTATTTTTTCTATTTTCTGTTGGGATGCTAGGGCCCCTCGATCTCCCCTCTGGGTATGTCACAACTCTATTATATATTACACAAGAAAATTATATTCATATTCTAATGCTAGATTTTATAAGAATTAAATTAATTTTGATTACAGTTGTGGTTATCATTTCTCATCTCAAATGAAACAGTGAAGTTATAACAATTAAATTCAATTATTACAACTTAGTATAAAATATAATTTTGTTTTAAAGATAAAACGAATTGTCTATGTGCAGGGCTGTTAAGAGTTTGTATGGAGCTCAAAGGTAGAGCAGACCCTTTAGTTTTCATTTATTATTATTTTTTAACAAATGAAAATGTGCCCAACAGTAGCAGAGTGGTTAAAACTACCAAACACTGGTAATTGGTCACGGATTTGTGCCTAGCCAACGAATTGGGATCCCCAACTCAGCAGATTGTCCACATATGGCTTTGCCTTATACAACTGATCCAATCCAAACAAATGAAATATGTAGAACGTTTATTAAACTTTGTTTGTTTTGTTAAGTTATGGCAACACAACACTTGGGTAATCTGCCTATGGGAATGCCTTTCAGGAGGTCTTTTTAAAAGTAACTGGCGTTATAGAGGTGGAGAAAACCCGGAAAACTTCACGTGGCCAGGAGCGAACTCAGTTTCAGGAATGGAATCGCTTGGCCACTGATGGGCCTGTTTACTAATGAAAACCAGTCTTAAAGGATTTGTTGTTTTCTGTTAGTAAAAAATAGCGTTAATTTTATTCTGGTAGGAACTACTACCGCTCGATCAGGAAAAAAATCCTCAACTCCCCATCTCGACGGCTCTTTACATTAATTAATATTAATCTTAGTAATTTTCTAAACTTTAATGAAAATAATTATTAAAACATTTTATTAATTTAGATTTTCTAAACCTTAACGAAAATATTTACGGTAATATAAATATTGGAAAGAAGAAAGAGAAATTTTATCGGGGAAAAATTATTTTTTTCGTCACAAATAAATAGAACGAATTTAAACGAAAAAAATCCACAGAATAATTTTCTTCGTTTCTATTACAATAATAATGTAAAAGCTCAAGTAAAAATCTAAAATAAACGCTAATAAACTAATTATAATTAATAAATTAAATGTATAAATTTCTTAATTATGAAACTAAACAGAATAAACGATTAAAAGTAAAAAAAACCCTTACCAAGATATTTAAACCTTAAATACTGTTGGTAAATTGAGTTGTCTCCTTCGACTTTTATCCAAATAACTTCTTTCAAGTTCGCTCCGTACAATATATAATTAAGCCACCACACGCGCAGTAGCATGGTATACCGAAACCGAAACTTTCACGTATTGATGACGTCGTCACGACACGTAAACGCGATTTCCCAATGAGTAAGCTGTGTTTATCGTTCAACTAAGCAGTTAGTTGATAAGGTAATATAGTTAATCAACGCGTGATTCTAATTGGTACAATTTTCAAAGATAAATTTTAACACACAAACAGACTTCAATTCTTAAAAATTTTGTTTTAAAATTCAAAATAAAAGGATTGTGTGTGGCGCCATCTTTTATGACATTTTATTAAAAAATTCTTATATTAATTATTATTATAAAATGGGAAAATGCTTAATTTTGAAGGAGACGAGATTTTCGATAAATTGTAAATTTCAATAACGGGTAAAACTTTTATTAATTCCAACCCCACTCCAGATATGACACGTGATCCCCTCTATCTCCCCAACCTCTCGATCTTTAACCACTAAAATTTAGCATCGATGTCCCTTATATACGAGTCATCGTGCCAAATTTCGTTTATTAATCTTTACCCCAGAGCAGGGTAGCTCCATGTAAGAGGCACAGTTACGATTATGATAAAACAAACGTAAATGTATATAGGCTTCTGAACTTTACTTATGGGCTTGTGTAAGTACAGTAATAAGATACTGTATGTGAAAACAAACAAAAAAAAAGGGGTGCAATTATTGTTAATTAGCGCTCGTGTGTCTAGTTATCGTGTTTCTTATTACAAAAAGTGTTTACGGAATTTGTTGACTTCTCTTTCAGTTAAATATATTAAACAAGTATGTTCTAATTTATATTTCCCGCCTTGTTATGTACTGTACTGTATATAACACGAAAAAGAATTGGAGTTGTGGTACTGTAAAAGTAATGGAGTTTGTGTGAAATTTGACTCCTCAGTTTTGTGCAAATCTCTGCGTTTGGACTCACCGAAAAAAGTCAAAAACAGAAAAAATTCCGTGGAGTATGTGTGTTGATTTCTATTTCTTTTAATATCTCAGGATGAGACAGTAGCGTAGCTAGGGTTCTCCGGGCCCGGTGCGGAACCAGATTTGTGGGCTCCTGTAAACGGACTAAAATATTTTTGTGTAGTTATTTATATAGTGTATACTATATAAATATTTTTGTATAGTGATTTATATAGTTGAGATTAGAATTGAGTTGATATTTTTTTTGTGTAATAGAGGGCCCAGCACCTCGAGCAGCCAAATGCCAAATTTTTCTTTGTTCTGATTGCCATGAAAAATTTTTCGGTTTTTTTTCCTGTGATTTTGGGGCCCCATGGGCCTATCGCTTTCCAGGGACCCAGTGAGGACTGCACCCTCCTAGATACGCCACTGGGATGGGGTAATGATTAAAAAACAAACTTTGGAAAGGTAGCATGCTTATAAAGGACATTGATACCTGGGACACCCATACATTGGGGCACGTGCCCCCTTTCATCTCGGTTGCCTTTTCATAATTTCCAAGAGGGCCCAAACAACAGAAAATTCGTGCAAATTTAAAAGAAACTAATAAACGATATTTGTCCATTGACCCATGTAACTTCGTCGTAAGTTGAACAAAACGCCATTCCTTGTTTCAAGGTCAAGTTAACTCGGAATGCAACCAGAGCCAACTTGTGGGAGCGCTGATCCGATGTTCAAACATAGTTTGAAGCTCCTTGTATAATGTACGATGCCCTTTTTAATACTTGTGTCCCCTTTTTTCAAAGTGTGTGGGGCCGCTGATTGATACTATTAAATTGGTTGTACTATATATTACCACCTATGGAATTTGAGAATATATTTGAACTCGGGATCGAGACGAGTTCAACGGTATCCTACTTTTGGACCGGAGACGAAAAATAAAGTTATTATATTTGCAATTTCTTGCCTTTCACAACGCATTCTACGCCATTTTAGTTTCCGCTAGGTGGCGTTCGACTGTTCGTGCAATTTCTTGCCTTTCACAGTGCTTTTTTTAATGGTTTGCAGACTTTACTGTAATCTTACAGTAATACTTAGCAACTACGGTGTCGTCTGCATGATAGTATTCAAAAAGTATGATAACTTTCTTATTTTTTGTCTCCGGTCCAAAAGTAGGGTATCGTTGAACTCGTCTCGGTCCCCTCAGTTCAGGTATATACTCAAAGTCCCGAGATTTCATAGGTGGTAATCTATATAATCCCCTTAAATTTTGGTGGTAAAGGTCGAGAAGGTGGGAAGATAGAGGAGGTCACGTGTCATATGTCAAATGGGATCGGACTTAATGACGAATTTACTTGTTATTAGAATTTGCAAGTTTTTATAAAACTCATCTCTATCCTCAAAATTAGGATTTCGGCCATTCTGCAGTATTAATAACATAAGAAGTTTTCAATTTTGTTTACCGGGAAAGTTATGCAACTCGTTGCTGAATTTTTTTTAAATGTCAAATCAAATTAGAATAATTATAATGCACAAAATTCAGATCGTGTTATTACTGAAGCTTAAAACCCAGTGGCGGCGCTGACATTTGATGATAGGGAAACTGAGCCGGCCCTGGATATAATCATTGGAAGCTTTATACAATATTTTAGTGTGCTAAACGACGTGAGGTTGGTGCTCTATAAAGCGCACGCGCGAATGCGTATAATCTGGCTGCCTTACACCATATTTTTTTGCCGTGGAAACTATTCCGTATTTGACAATACGGCGCTTTCATTGGGAATATGCATATATAAATTTATATTAGAATATATAATAGTAGGCCCACCAGTGACCGAGTGGTCTTAGTACCCTGAACACTGGGAGTTCGGTCGTGGGTTCGCGCCGCGATCGGACAGGCTGGCTGCTTGGAGTTTTTCGGGTTTTCTCCTTGCCGATAACGACTAAATAGGAGGCCAGTTCTCCATAAAAGTCTTCCCAGAAGGCATTCTTTCCCCTCGCGTAACATCGCTCCCCAGAGCAGGCAACGGGAAATCACTCTGGGTAGTAACTTTCCCTAGTAACACATTGGCGCGTTACTAACTACTTACTAACCTACGCCAGGTGTAGCCGACGTCAGGAATCTGATGTTATGGAATCACATGGAAGCGGTGCTTCCACAGCTTCCATGGTCGACACGCCACTGTTGGCACTTTCTCGCCATTCCAGACGATTTTAATTATTAATTATACTGTCTCAATAGTTTTATAATTAAATAAAAGATTTTTTATTTTAACGTTGTAGCTTTGTTTTGCTTTAAATACTTTAAAAAAAAAAAAGTTTAAAGCGCAGAAATGTGTATAGTTTTCGATTAAAAATACCCCACACGCACGCACACCAATGTTCCCTGTAAGCTGCGCGGCCGCGCACTGATCAAATTGTTGCCGCGCACGAGAATTTATGTGCCGCGCAGGCGAGCATGCACACCGATTTGAATTGTTGTTTATTTATTTCTCACTCTGTCTGCAACATGATTATTGCTACGTATATTTCAATTAAATACATTAAATCTTTGACAAGAGATAATATTTTGTATAAAAGTATGTTTTAAAATGAATTTTAATCTCTACTTTATAATTAACTAGCTGTTACCCGCGACTTCGTCAGCGGAGGTTTTGCAAGCAAACCCCATTTACATCCAATATTTCAATAACCATAGTAATTGTTATATAACACCTACCGCTGAAGAGAATTGCCGAAAATCAAACGAACTATTTTCAATTTGATCAATTTTCTGAAACGTTTACAATCGTTCTATAATCGAACCAATACGCAATAACAAATTCGAATTTAAAAC